TGCTGGAACACGAGTAAGCCCTTATTTAGGAATAGAGAACTGTGGGGCAGAGGTGTTTACTTTGTTATAGCCAATTGGGAGGACATACAAAGTGTTAGAACTGGTACACATACATATTTAATGGGATTCAGAGACTGTTCATTGTGTTACGATTTTTACAGTCATTTTGTTATTTTTCATTTTACGGTAACCTATTTGTTTTTCTATTTGTTCTATTTTCTTATTCATGAATTGTAAATAAAATTCCAAGTAGTAAGTATGATATATTGAATTTTGTAAAGTCCAAATTTGAACAAAATCCGTTCACAAATAACCTATTTATACAGAAAAATGTCAGTGTCGGGTTATAAGTGCCTCTGAGTGTATTGTTGGTCTTAGTCGTGTGTCTGCAAAGGATAAACAGGTCATATATAGGCTATCTTCCAATGTAATCTTTCAAAAAAGATATCACCAATTAATACCCACATAATTCTAACATTAAAACTGACAATAAATTGGTTTACTATAAAACATGGCACGATAAAGGCATACCTTATATAGAACACATTTATGATTATAGGGAAAAAGACTTTTATAAATATTATGATTTTAAGAACATTTACGGAATAAAAATTGCTGATTATTTATGCTTATAAATGAATAAAATTAAACGAATTATTAACAAATAAATCATCACCATACCAGTTCTTCAGGAGAACAAAATTTACTCAACATTCCATTTCTTTAGAAAAAGCACAAAAATTACCGACCCATTTATATTTGCAATCACGCGCCAAAAAAATCTCCGTTGCGTATTTCAGTCACTCCCTTTCGCGATTTATTTTTTTCTCTCTCTCTTTCTTTTTGAAAGAAGAAATACCTGCATCTGGATCGATTTTTTTTTTGTAATTTACACCTGAAGATACAAGATACAAGAAAATTTATTTTACGATGAAGAAAGTTTCCGGTGGTGCGCTACGGTCACTTCCTGTTTCTTCTCTTCACGAAAGTTATTTTCTCTCCAAAAATCACCATTTTGGAATTAATCTCAATATTGCAATTGGTTTATGAATATCTAATGTACATATTTACCAGGTTTGATGGTCCATTATACATGTAAAGAGCTTTTTCAGACTTTTTCATTGTTGTCCATTGATACTCAAAATGTCCGCCATTTTGAATTTCTCCCATAATGCCTAGCGTTTTTGTAAACATCCTGTGTGAATCTGCAGGCCTACATCCAGTAAGTTAGTCATGTTTAAACACTTTATTTACCCTTTTTCAATTGCATCTGTCCTTCTGTTTTATAAAATTACCAGATTACCATGCCATTCAGTGGATCTACCCACCAATATGCCCTTGCTTGTGCAGGATAGGCCTGCCATCAGTCTATCTATGCAGTTCTCCACTTGCATGAAGATACACATGGGGAAAGCGAAAGGCCCTGTTTGTCGTAACAGGCTTGTTCTTCTATATCTTTGCTCCCTATTGTTGTCAGACATTGAACCTAACCCTGGTCCTAGGAAGCTCAAATTTCCATGTGTTATTTGTAGTAAAGCTTGTAAATGGGTGGGCAAACCTAGTGTTTGCTGCGACACATGCGACTGCTGGTATCACCAAGAATGCATGGGTATGCCCGATGCGGTCTACAAAGCCCTTGCCAACTACACATGGGAATGCGTCCAGTGTGGGCTGCCAAACTTCTCAACTGGCTTATTCAACACAACACTCTTTGACACTACAAATAGTTTCGCCAACCTTAGCGATACCTCAAACATTGACAGTGAGATCAGCTTTAGCTGCCCCAATGCTACTTCATCGCCGCATCGCAGACTCCATAGCTCCACTTCAGGTAACCAACCAGAGAAACGGTATGACCTGCCACTCAGAGTGCTGAACATTAACTGCCAGTCTATCAAAGGCCCAGGAAAGAAGGCTCAGCTCGAGAATATGATTGCCTCAACAGAAGCCGATATCATTATTGGCACTGAATCCTGGCTGGACAGCAGCATTAATTCCTCTGAAGTCTTCCCATCACACTTGAAGTCATACAGACGTGACCGCCAAGATGGAACACAGGGAGGAGGGGTTTTCTTACTTGTTTCTGACATTTATACAAGTGATGAGCCAGCAGAGCTGAACCCACCAGGTGATTGTGAGGTGGTATGGTGCAAAATCAAGGTAAAAGGAGTCCAAGACCTGTATGTTGGTGCTTTCCACAAGCCTCCATCCAAGACAACCCCTGAATACCTTGACATGCTTGACACCTGCCTTTCGCGGATACCCAGGGGTGCGCACTTATGGTTGGGCGGCGACTTTAACCTTGGAGATATAGACTGGGTCAATGAGTGTCCACAGCTACATGCCACACCCATGAAGCAATGCCAGCAACTCTTAGACATCATGAAAGATGCCTCCCTTGTTCAGATAGTTGATAAACCTACAAGAACAACCGAATATACGGAATCCTGTCTTGACCTCTTCTTCACCAATAACCAGTCTCTCATCAACCGTTGCGAAGTCCTTCCAGGCATAGCCGACCATGACGCAGTGTTCATAGAGTCAAGCCTCCGTCCCATGAGAGTTCGTAAACCTCCAAGGAATGTCCTTCAATACAGAAAAGCTGACTTTGAAAGCTTCAAGGCTGAACTGACAACATACTTACCACAGTTCACTGAAGAGACAGCCAACAGCTCTGCTGACCATTCTTGGAAGATCTTTGAGAATAAGTTGAAGTCGTTAGTCACCAGGTACATTCCCTCCAAAACCATCTCGGGTAACAAAATACACAAACCATGGATCACAAAGACAGTAAAGACTCTCCATCGAAAAAGAAACAAACTACTATCCAAGTTCAAATCAACTGGTTCCCTCAAGGATAGGCGGCGATACCATCAGGCCAAAAGAGAAACTCAAAAGAAAGAACGTCAAGAATATTGGCTATACATAGAAGACCTAATCGATGCCGATGATCCAGCCTCAGAACAACCATCAAAACAAAAGAAGTTCTGGAATTACATCAAATCTTTAAGAAGGGACAACTGTGGGGTTTCACCACTGAAAGACAAGGGCAAGTTACATGCTGAATCGATTGACAAAGCCAATATCCTAAACAAACAATACCAATCCGTTTTCACTAGGGAGGACAAATCCAGCATCCCAAATCCTGAGGCCGAACCATCCCCCACCATGCCTGACATAGAGATTACCAACAAGGGAGTGCTTACACTACTCAGGAAGCTCAACCCAAAGAAGGCAGCAGGCCCAGACATGATCTCTGCGCGCATCCTTAAGGAGATGGCTGAACAGTGTTCATCATACCTGGTCGTCATCTACAAAAAGTGCCTCTCTTCTGGCAGCATACCTGAGGTGTGGATAACAGCCAACGTGTCAGCCATATTTAAGAAAGGGGAGCGCTTCAAAGCCAGCAACTATCGACCGGTATCCCTCACCTGCATAGCCTGCAAGATGCTGGAGCACATCATCGTTACCAACATAATGAATCATCTTGATAGTCACAAGATACTCACCGACAGCCAGCATGGATTTAGAAGAAGGCGGAGCTGCGAAACCCAGCTACTAACGCTGACAGACGAGCTCATCAAGTCCATGGACAGGCGTAAACAACATGACCTCGCTGTACTGGACTTCAGCAAAGCCTTCGACCGCGTCCCACACAGTCGCTTGCTTGTCAAGCTCCATCATTATGGCATCAGAAACCATACCCTGAAGTGGATTGAGGCATTTCTCACAGGCCGCACTCAGCGCGTAGTCGTTGATGGAGCAACGTCCGACCCAGCACCCGTTATCAGCGGAGTCCCCCAGGGAAGTGTGCTCGGACCCATACTCTTCCTGGTCTTCATCAATGACCTGCCACTTCATGTCACGTCCAAAGCCAGACTCTTTGCTGACGACTGTGTGGTATACCGGGAAATCAACACTGAAGAGGACTGCCACGTTTTGCAGGATGACCTGAAGAAGTTGGCATTGTGGGAGAAACGCTGGGGCATGAGTTTTCACCCAGAGAAATGCAGTATAATCAGGGTCCACAGGAAGAGGAACCCCATCATATACCCGTACTCCTTGAAGGGCCACACACTCGAGATAGACTCGATAACCAAGTACCTCGGAGTCCATATGTCTGGAAACCTCTCCTGGAATCAACATGTTGACAAGATCGTAAAGAAGGGCAACAGCACACTCGGCTTCCTTCGACGCAACCTGCGCATCAGCAATGAACAGGTCAAGAGCACAGCCTACATGTCACTCGTGCGACCAGGCCTTGAATATTGCTCCACCATCTGGAACCCTTATACCAAGGACCTTACACGCAAGCTCGAGATGGTCCAGAGGAGAGCTGCAAGATATGTGACGAACCGTTACCACAACACAAGCAGCGTATCCTCAATGATCCAACACTTGGAGTGGGAGACATTAGAGTCACGACGGACCAAAGCCCAGCTGACCATGATGTTCAAGATCACCAATGACCTTGTGGACATACCAGTCAGTGATTATCTCACCCCTGCCCCGAGCCGCACTAGAAGTGACCACTCCAAGAAGTTCCATCTACCATCAACATCTACATCGTACTACAAGAACTCCTTCTTCCCTCGTACAGCCACGATATGGAACAGCTTACCTGCCTCCGTTGCAGAGGCCCCTGACTTGGTATCCTTCAAGCAGGGGCTATCAGCCCTCACATTCTAATTCGCCTTAGGGGCCCAGCTACAAGTACCCACTAGTGATATCCAAGGCTGTGCCGGCAGCGGCCACCGTAACCGGAGAGGTTTGGGTTGAAGAGGCGAAATATAGCTGGCCATACTTTTTGTCTATATCTCTATCTTTGTACTATCCAACCTCTTCTTACTTTCTATCATTTCTTGTATATTTCTTTTTCTTGACCTAGCACCACCCGTCGCGTCATAATCAAGTGTGATTGCGCCGACGTACAATGTAGATGTAGATGTAGACGTCGGATACACCTGGCAGTTACACTGATTATTTTTTTTATTCGATTAAGATTGGGAACATTAGTCTCATTAATCGGTTTCAATCAAGCTGGCCAAAATGTCCGGCCAAATAACAAAATCATTACAAAATACGTTACATAATGTAGTGTATCGTTCTTATTTGAACGTGCCAGCTTTGAATATTTCAGCGAATAGGGCAGCTAACAAAAATTTTCATCACCGGATACCTCAAAATGTCTCACGATATTGCCAAGTATTTTATTCGGGCATTTATAAGGGAAGAGCGCTATACCCCACCCACATTTTAACGAAGAGAAGCTATTCAACAGTAGGAAAAGACGAGAATGAGAAGGGAGATCCATGGAAAACTATGTGTCCTCTTAATTTAACAGCTTGGTACTCTGTAAAATTTCTATTTATCATGGCGATGCATGACAATTCAATAAAATATCATTTAGGACGTGATTTTATTCTTGGTAGTATGGAAGCTTTTAAGTATGTGTCTGATTGTTTAAATAGAAAGGATTACGAAGGACTATCAGATGTTATGACAATAGAATTGCATGAAAGATTACAGAAAGAAGATATGAAGTTACCACCACTTGACACCCCTGATGTTGGTCTCATTTCCTTGTACAACATCAAATGGAAAATGGATAAAGAGACAAAGATTAAGTAAGTATTCTGCGGCTTTTCTTAATCACGCAACATTGATGGCCCATTCAGTCAAATTTTGTATATAAGAACTTTGTACAAAACAGTATAAATACACCAAAATTTATTGATACAGTGATACTGTAATCAAATATTTTGATGTGCCAAAGCTAATTTTGAGATATGTTCTAGGTCAGAATCTCGCAATATCCCTCATTGAGAGGATGATTTCGAGACGTTTCGGCCCCAAGACGTATCGGCCCCAAACTACCCAAGACGTTTCGGCCCCGGACGTTTCGGCCCTTTACCAAATCGGCCCCAGAATATGTACTGTATTTTAAACCGATATATTAAAAGCATTTCAATGATTAAATGAATCAATTAGTATATATATTTAATCATTTTGTATAAAAACTAGATAATAATAGTAGTAGGGGAAAAGTAATCAATACTTGTAAACAGAACAGAACATAAACTTAATTTGAAAAAATATAATTCACAAACAAACAATTACTTACAGCATATATAGATAATATTTTATTAATACAAACAGAACAGAACATAAACTTTATTTAAAAAAATATAATACACAAACAAACAATTATTTACAACATATATAGATAATATTTTATTAATACAAACAGAACAGAACATAAACTTTATTTGAAAAAATATAATACACAAACAAACAATTATATATGGTTTGTTTTATAAATTAAGTAACCTGCCTTTATTGTTTGTTACACCTTTAAAAACATTAACGTACATCTAAATGGTTCAAGAGATCAAAAGATAATAAATAATTATTTAAAGAATTACAGTGTCATAATTGTTTAATTGTTATTAAATTAATTGTTGTTAATCAATCAAGCAATATACTATAGTGGGGCCGAAATGTCTCGCGGAAAAGGGCCGAAACGTCCAGGGGCCGATTTTTCGACTGGGGCCGATTTGGTTTGGGGCCGAAACGTCCTGTTTCCGAGAGGATATATTTCCCATACACTAAATACTAAAATAGCACAGTATTTCAATGCATAGTAAATAAATGGACAGGACTTGCTGACACTGTATTCTGCTCAAATCAATATAAATATGAAATTAGGTGCTGCCTATGAAACGAAAGCTACTCTGATTTCAGTGGGTTTTTTTCACTTTCGGGGGGAGAGGGTCCATGCCCTTTGAAGGGGGAAAATTGCAATAGGAGGGGGAATTTTATTGGTTTATTTATTTTATATTGTTTTCTTTCCGGTAGAATAGGGGAGCAACTTTTTGAACACAAGTTTAAGATATGTCACATTTTCCTAATATATGGATTTTAGATATCGACGCGTCGCCTGTTAAACTTATTGGGACGCGGGGAGTAGCCCCCCTTACCTACCTGAGAACGATTTATAAACAACCTAGCTTAACAGTAAGTCTTACAGGCATAAAATAAAACATTTTTCAGCAGTTAGTTGCAAAAAAAGAATGATATTCATTGCAGGCAGATTCGGGCTGCCGTATAGGGGGAAATTTCAGCTTTGAGGGGGGAAAAAACTTTACAATTTTGAGGGGGGTAATGGGGCCGAATTTCGCCAAATATTTGGGTGAAAAAAAACCACTGGATTAAATTATAAGCAAAACATAATTATATACATGTACAGTGCAGTCCATAGATTCTGTTATGTCATACTGGCTCTTGAAAAATACATTTTGGCAAAATATTTGTCCATTCAGAAATACAGTACATGTAAATGACTGTAAAGTAAATAAATACCAGTCTGCGAAATAACTTTTTTAGATCATAGGCCATTTCGTCCTTTAACTAAGGCGAAAGTTTAGGCCTGGACAGATTCCTTTATTGTGCAAAATAAAGACAATACTTTATGTTTTATCACATCAACAAAGGTTCAATTTAAGCACAAAGGCAGGGAAAATCAGTCAGCCACTTTTCAATAAAATTCTCTAATTCTGTTCTTATATATTCAACATTAAATTTAACAGGGTGTCCGTTTGACCCTTGAAATGACTTTTTGACCCTTCAAATTTCCAAAAGGCCTGATTTGACCCTCAGGATTTTAAAGGAAGTGTCAAATTTTGTTAAAATCATAGAAATTTGATCTTGTAGTCCGTAAAACTTAGTCAAAATGACCCTCCGGATTTCATGGCTAGTGAACACAATGGGCTGCAACCCCCCAGCTCAGCCAAAAGATACGTTCAAGAGCTAGGATGGAATATATTATTATACATGTGTCAGTTTCATGCAATAGTGATCATACTGTACTCCCTTATCAAAACATATAATGCTGTCATCCAGTTGTTAGGCACCTGCCTAGGTGCTGCAAAGATCTTTATCTAATGACTTGCAGTCAATGAATTTAAGATTTTGAATTTACTAGCCCGAATTCCAGTTTTGAATTTATTCTACTATATATTTACCTAAATTTTCTTAAAATTTTCACTGGCCGGAACTATTTTTCACTGGCCATAGGCCACTGGGCCAGTGCTAAATTCATGACTGGACTTGAACATAAAAAAGGCAAATTTTATTGGCCTATTACCTTCACAAATGTCTCAGAGTCACTAATACTATAGTAATAGTGGCGAATAGTAGGTGTGTTACACAGTACAATATATAACAGTGTTTTTTTTTCCTCTACTTTGGGAATGGTGCCGGTACCAGACTGATTGGGAAAAAATGCGTTATTTTGACTTCTATTGGGAATATTTTTTAATACATTTTTTCAGCTACAAATAAGATTAATTATCATGAATAAAGATAGCTAACAGCTTCCACTGTCAAGGTAGAACTATGAAGTGGTGATTTATATGAATATGTTGGATTTAAATGATTTCAGATAAATTTCTTGGCCTTGTGGAAATTTTGAACAGCCATTTTGGGAATTTAAACATTGGAAATTGGGAATTTTAAAGTCTATTTTCTATTGGGAACAGTACCGTTTTAGGGTAGTAGTTATATAAAGAAAAAAAAACACTGTATAATGAGGAAAGAATGAAGTTGTTTATTATTGTGACATGTACATAGCCAATAACAAATAATGAGCATATGTGTGTATGATTATAGTACACGGCCCATTGGGCCTATAACTCACCAATTTACTGTGTCACAGACACCCCTCACACACCACCACATTCATATACATTTTTGCGCATCTTTCAGTAATATATTTTTATTACAGAAAACCATTGACATTTACAAAAGATTTTGATTTTTTTATATTTCAGGACATTAGAAGTTTTTGTAAGATACAGCTTTCTAACCAAGCCAATAACGAAAGGGCCATTTTTGGCCCAAGCAAGAGAGGCTACCTCAAAAGGAACTATAGGAGGAGCTGAACTGCACTTTGCACACTATAACTTCTTTAAGAATTATGGAGACACTATGAAAGATACACCATGGCTTCTGAAAGACTTGAGCTATTTTCCTGCAAGTCAAAGATTTTCAGTTACTTCTAGATAATAGTTTCGTTTTTGAAACAATGATTTGCAGTGGTCCTGAATATTGTTCCAAGTTCTTTGTACAGTTAATGGCTGGAACAAATTTGTGTATTTTTTGCTCATTTGAGCAATAGAAGACTGACAGTATTTTTATCCACCTTTTAAATTATACAGGTGAGCGATATTGACCCTTTTGGGTCTCTTGTGAGATATAAGAAAGAATACACTTAACTTTTTGTTTCTCCTTCTGTATTGATAGAATATATTAAATGCTTTGTATATATAAGTTAATAAATAAAAACTGTAGAATATGTTGCACTTTTAATTCAGTTGCTGACATTTGCTGAGCAGTAGGATTTTGGGGTTAGGTTATGTCCTTCTGTAGTAAATCTTTCAAAAACTATCTCCTCTCAAATCACATAGTAGATTTTAACCGAACTTCATGGGAACAATCCTTTGTATATGCCTGAAAGAATTTGCAGTATATTGAAAGTTATGCACCTATCTGTCTGTCTGTCCGGAAAGAATTTCGGCGTATATTGTACATTATGCACCTAGTTGTCTGTCTGTCCGTCTGTCTGTCTTTTAGCAGGTTTTCTTGTCCGGTCTGTATTTTTTGAACCGGTGAAAGGAAATTGAAACTGCCTCGTGGAAATGGTACCCATAATGAGACGCTGTGCTGAGCGCATGTTTGACCTTTCTAAGGTCAAGGTCACACGTAGTCATTTTGTTTCAGTATCAGATTTTGTGTCTGCTCTGTATCTTTTGAACCAATAGCAAGAAATAAAAATAATTGGCAGTAATTTTACTTCTGTAAATAAGGTGCGCAGAACACAAGTTCGGACTTCCTACAACCAAAGTTGGCCCCGCCCCGGGGATTAATTGATTTATATACTGGTAGACTTATATAGGAGTTTTCTTGTTCAGTCTGTATTTTTTTGAATCCGTGGAAGGAAACTGAAACTACTTGGCAGAAATGTTAACCATAATTAGACGATGTGCAGAGGGCAGGTTTGACCTTTCTCAGGTCAAGGTCACACTTAGTCATTTTGTATCAATTTCCAAGTTTTGTGTCTGCTCTGTTGATAAGAAATTAAAACTTTTTGGCAGGAATATTACTTATATTAAGACGATGTGCAGAACACAAGTTCGGACTTCCAAAGATCAAAATTGGCATAAGCAGGGACACGAGGATTCTTTCATGTCAGGAAGCCATCCAGCTACCTCACGGAACGTCGGTCGGTAGTTCTACTCAGGTCCCCGTCCGTGCCTGAAATAATGCATGGAACGCCATCTTGCCTCTTCCCACAGGAGGGGTTAAAATTGGCCCCTGGGTTTTCTTATAATGAAAATCATAAAAGGTATTAAAGCATCTCTGAAATTACAAAGGCGAGCTTAGATACATGTATTTGGTATTATCTGTTTGACCAAGGTTGGCCAAATTATAGCCCTTGTCCTCGTCCAGATTTCATGGCTTTTCCTTATACAGTTATGTAAACAAATGAAAAAAAAAATCACGATGTACTAGTATTTGGCTTGAAAAAGTGTCATGTACAAAGTTTATTATATTTATAGCATTTGAGTCATATTTGCCCTCGCTCCAGTGGACATAGATTTTTCGTTTTGTAATACATGACGTATAGTAAACTCCCCTGAATCCACAAAGGCTTAAGCTTAGATATTAAGCATAAAGCATTGGCTAGTAGACATTACCAGATCTGTTCATATTGTAATATTTAGGTCAAAATCGGCCTGTTTTTCCATTCATGTATGTAGTAAAAACTTTAAAAGACTTTAAAAGAACAATCTTCTCTGAACTCGCAAATGCTAGATCTTAATTATTTGGCATGAAACACTACCTTATATCTAGAAAGATGCAACCATGTTTGTTTATATCCCGATTAGCAGCTTGGGACAGCAATAGCATCGGTGAGTTCCATTAACAACCTTTGACTTTCCTTAGCAACCTGTGATTTCCGTAGCAACCATTGACTTTCGTTGGTAAACATATTGACTTCTTGAGAAACCATTGACTTCCCTTAGCAACCTATGACCTTCATAGCAACTTTCCATTAGATCTACAATCGGGGACTAATCAACCATGATCATTATAAAAAAACAATGATAAATGCAAATATTATAAACATATTGAAATCAAAAAGACTGGCTACAAATTGTTAGATCATTTCCCGCATCATTCTTTCTAGCATTATACAAATGTGAAAAAGACTTGTACTAGTATATAGATATTTTATTAAAGGGGGACAAGAGTGTTGCCTCTTATATTCAAAGATTTAGTCAAAGTTATTCCTCTTTACATGATAAAGATTGGTTTATACTGCATGACTTATCTCCCTTCGCTAATAAACTACTTTCTTAAAATGTACAACAGACCCACCCAAGTTACAAGTGTTTGTTTACTGATAAAAGAAGATGCCAAGTGAATACACACATTTCAGTTTTGACAAGCGATTTATATCTTATGCTTTATATAGTAAACATCCTATCTATTCATGGTTGGTGCTGTGAAATAACCTTGCCAGAGTAAACTATACGTACATAGTCAAAATATGGATCGCCACGTGCATAAAGACTGCGGTGGAAAGAATACAAACTGTTGCTACATGTATATATATATATTTTTTTTAATTAGTTTTATTTGATTGTTCTCACATGCATATTATGTATGCTTGAAATGTGCAAGGAGAGGCATTGGAAGTTTTTTTTTCTCCACTAGTAAAACTCAAAAGTCACCATACGCTCCTTACATTGTACATGTGATTAAATAACCTGAACTAAATTTTATACATTCCACTGGTCCTGCTTGTATTTAATGTAAATATTATATATTTATTTATTTCCTCCAATTGCGTCACCTGCATTGAATCAATTGCAGGACAGGGCCCATCGAATTAAAAGACCACGTGAATGTTGCGGTATCCGGACAATTCCCCTCCCGGACGATTCCCCTCCCAGTAAATTTGAATGTTTTTTCACAACCCGGACATTTCCCCTCCCGTTATTTTTCTACGGCGGACAATTCCCCTCCCGTTCTTTTATCAACCCGGACAATTCCCCTTCCGTTCTTTTAACAACCCGGACAATTCCCCTCCCGCTGTTGTCAGAGCGGACAATTTCCCTCCTGTGGCTATTGAATATATATATTATATAATATTGTTTATTTGAAAGGTATATACATTTTTGCAGCGGCAAAACAATAAAAGAACAATTGATAAGAACAAAAAAAAAACAATTAAGCTGTAGATTCTTGCAAAGAATATATTATGCACATGTTATAGTAAATTGGACTGTCATCTTAGAAAATCATATTCACCATATTGAATCAGTACATGAAGTCCTAACACAAAATATCAGTGATCATTTTGATTTTATATATGATTGAACACATTTGTAGGAATATTCTCCTTCATTTTTAATTGGTTTTGCAATCAAGGACACATTTAACTAAGGGCGGCAATGCTTAAAGATTTTTTATTGACAGTTTGTTTATCTTAAGCAGCGGCGGCAATGATTAAAGGCGGTATAATGTCACTTCTGTGAAATAATGATTGTTAAAAGTTCCGATCTTTAACAGTTTATTGTTAAGAGTAAAAACTGTCATCTTTAATAAGAATGGTTATAGTTTTTTGTATACGGAATGTGAAAAAACGGGAGGGGAATTGTCCGCTCTGCTAAAAAATGGGAGGGGAATTGTCCGCTCTGCTAAATTAACGGGAGGGGAAAAGTCCGCCCTATTAAAATAACGGGAGGGGAAATGTCCGAGTTGTGAAAATAATATGGAAGGGGAATCGTCCGGGAGGGGGATTGTCCGGGATTCGAATGTTGCTCCTATGATTGAGTACCTATATTAGTTAAATATTTTGACGTGTATATATCCTAACTGAAGAAAATGACTGTGTTTTCACATTTCACGAGTAGTACTGAGCATGAAACTGTTATCAATGACTTGAGCGATCTGTAAGATATTTGATTAAAACTTGCAACGTAAATTATGTCAATTACACATGTATAATAATTAATAACCGGCCCAAATATATGAGGTATTGTAGAGTTAGGGCCCTTAAACGACTTGGATCCTTAAGTTAACTAAAAATTTAATGCAGTAACATAGGCCTGCATTTGCCTGAAACGAATATAAACGGAACATTCATGGTACACGATATTTCGGCCAAAGTCGATGCTCCAGTATTTGAGGACGTGAGTAAACTAGGGGACTTACTCGATGATATGTAAATAGTCTGAAATACGGACGACTTATATTACAGAGCTCAGTCCGAGAATGAATACGTTACTGGTGCCGAGCACATCAGTTTTGGCCCTGTACCTGCTAAATTTGCTGTACCTGCTAAATTTGTAAATGGCTTAGCCCTGCTGTGAATCTATAGAGAACAGCCCATTCAAACTATAACAGACTGAACTCGCGGTATGCTAGTGACACAGCCTTACCACATCCGGTTCCAGCGGTTTAAGGATTTTTAAAAATATCATACGGCAAAGTTTGTACAAGTAATATGAGTTCATGTACAACATCTATCTTATGTTCGATGAATAGCAATATCGGTTTGGTCTCAATTAAAAGGAACCTTACTTTGAGTGTGTTCAATACACAAATTGCGGTCTCTGTCGCATAGGTCGCCTGGTATTCCATACGGAACGGCCAAGACACCAAACACCTCCACCCTGATCACCCATATTCTACCGAAGTAATACAAAAAGGCCGCAAAATGGCGATTGATCTTACGCATTATCTTCAAAATATTATGACACAAATTATACTTTGACTTAACCTGTTAACAATCTGACAGTAGAATTCTACATTGTTACAGTAACTTGCATGGCTAGTTACGGTCACGTTTTGCAACTTAAATAAACTGACATTTTAAGTCACAAGGCAACCACGAGCAATGTTGAACTGAATAAATTTATGTAGTGATTCTTTTCAATACATATCTTTTATTTTTATATCCGAAAAAAGTGTATTAAATTCTACGACAAATATTTTCCCGCCAAAAAGTATAATTATACATGTATATAATTATAATACATTTTGAAATTATATTTAAGAAAAGCTATATATTTTCGCCGGGAGGAAGGCAACCTACTAAGGCCAGAGTAATGTTAATTAACCATAGGTTGAGAACAACATTGTCATAGCGTGGTCCATTTGGATGAACAATTTACAGCAATTTTGTTTTAAGCCCGCGAAATGGTTGGTACGTTGGTCTGAAATCTTTTCCCATTTGTACTGATTATAAAAATGATAAAATACGCCGATGTCAGCGTACATCATTTCCCGAGGCTGCCAAATTATTAACAACTTGAGAATTATGAATGTGAAACAAGATACAAGCTTTGTATATTGCATGTAGTCCATTTAAGTAGTTCCAATCGGGTGTAAAATCAATTAATCTTGTGAAAAGTACATTGAATTTCACAAATCATTATATATACATCATGACAAAAAGGATGAGAACCTTGTCGCCACTCTAATAGAGGACAGAATTTTTTTACTGTACCCCAGCTTGTAGGTATGAGATAGGTCAATACACAATATAACTTTCAATTTCTTATTTTTGTTCGTTATATGTGGCCACAGAGCTATGTTAAAATTATGTGATATAAGTCTCTGTTGTAACATTGGAGGGTAAGAATTTCAGAACAAAAATTAGAATTTTACTAGTAAATATTAATAAACCGGTTCTTTAAAACATGTCACTTTAATATTTGCATTGGCCGATTTTTAAACTTGTAAAAATGAAACAATATAAAAGAGGTAATTAAGGACCATGGAAAATAATTCAGGGAACTGTCTTTATATAACATTTATAATTTAAATTCTAATACAAATTATTAAATGACATGCGCAACCCCATGCTCAAGGGCCGTGATAGTGTTGTTAGAACTTCGGTCTGTCATTTGTGTGTACACTTACTTGATGTGGATTGTGAAATAATATATTTTGTGTACCCAAATACAATAAAATGTAATTAAAATTAAAGTTTCAATCATAGAATTACCTTTATAAATGGAGAACGAAAACTTATTCAAATATAAAGTTTCGCAATATGCTTAAATCTGCAATGATTGACTGCTTTAGTCATGTAATAACTGGCATATAGTCATGTAAAGAAGATCATATTGACCCATGTAAAGCAACTAAGGGCGATAATTATATGTACTCATGTAACAACGGACATTTAGCCATGTAAAGGCGATCATATATAGCTATTTAAGGACTGGCAATATGTCATGAACAGAAGGTAATTCAGTCTTACTGGACGTAGCAAGCTCAAACCTGTGAATGATAAGCCCGTGATCATTTGGGGAAGGTGTTATTTGTTTTAATTATTTAATGGGGAAAGCACAAGCTTTTTGTGTCTGGAAGTAATTGTAATCTATAAAACATTCTATTTCTCTGGCTGTGTTCACATAATTGTCCTCAGTTTGCAAGTAATATCAACTTACTAACACTTTTGTTTATCCTTTTGTAAACCGCCGTAACCACCCATCAAACCTGCAGTTCCGTCCAGTCTGACTATATGCTCTGTACCGACGATTGACTTACTTTAAAATTGATATACCCAAATTGAATGAATTGATAAAGGGCAATTTAGAAAATGGAAGCTGGACAAGTGCATTTATAAAAATCAGCAAATCAAGATTTACATGCCGTAAATTTATGTTTTAAAACGTAACATATGAATAAATACAATGTTAATTTGATCGAGGATATACATGTTTATAGAATGAAAATTTTTAGTCGAGCGGATCGCTGTGGACATGTAACTTATAAAGGGTAGATAAATTTTTTATCAAGCAAAACTGCATGAATGGCAAGTGTACACCGAGAACATCTCTAAAGCATTGCCAGTACGGGTTCTATCGCATATCACCATGCATGCCCCCAAAGATGTATTTCGGCGGCGTGACCGAGTGATTAACGCGTCGGACTAGTAATCTAAGGATTGCTGACCGCATGGGTTCAAACCCAGTCAGGAGCAAGCCATTGTTTCCATACTGGTTGTCTTTGCAATAAGCTCAGGTGTGTGCCATGTATATGGACGAATTACACATTTGACGTTGTACTTACCATGCATATTCATACATTAAAATATAGCTTACAAAAGATCGGTGGTTCTATACTATAATAATAACAATGAAATATACATAATGTTGAATGGATTTAAAATACATCCTGCAAGTTAAACACGAATAATTTCTTTGTTTAACTGTATATGCACGCATTTGTGCTATACGCAAGGCTGCGAGAACAACAAGAAAGATCCAAATGATATACAATTGGTAATTGTTTCTATTTTTCTACTTTCATATTAAGATTTTCAACTAACTTAAGGTGCTAGTACATGTACATATAGTGGAAAATCAGTCTGTTCATCCATGACAAACTGCAAACTATTTAACTGCGCAAGGGATACAAATATCTTTATTAACTAGAGTCACAAAAACGCCCACTGTCCAATTATACTGATTAATTTAATACCTTAGGGCTGATCCGTGTTCATTTTTCAATCATAAGCGGCACCTGTGCAGAACCACCAACCTTCCATTTTTCTAGCATGCCTTCCATTTTCCTCGCATGAATTTTTCTAAATCCTTTGTGGGATGTGGACCTACAGTGGTGAGGGGGGTGGTCAATAAGCGACTTTAACCACTAGTCAATTGAGGCCCTGACTTCAAGAACGAGATTGACATTTTTTTGTTGTCTACACAATCTTGAACTATAGAACAATATATTTTACAAAACACCATGGAAAATGTTCAGTGCACACAGGCGTTGCAATATTAGGATAAAAATAACAATAAACATCGTCTTTACAGATTATAACAGAGCCGCGTCACGACAAAACCAACATACATGTAGTGTGTTTGCGACCAGCATGGATCCAGACCAGCCTGCGTGTCCGCGCAGTCTGATCAGGATCCATGCTGTTCGCTTACCAACTCAATTACAAGTAGGGAAACTGATAGCGAACAGCATGGATCCTGATCAGACTGCGCGGATGCGCAGGCTGGTCTGGATCCATGCTGGTCGCAAACCCATTATGTTGGTTTTGTTGTGACGCGGCTCAACATATTTTAATGCTCAGACCCATGTTTTCAAATACAACAAAGATGAAAAATGGTGTTTTAAAGAAATGAATGAAAGTTGTTAACATGCCTACTATACACCCTGCATCAAACAGATCAAAGAAAGGTGTTGTATTAACAACATATAAAACATGCTTACATACTTAGAACTTTCAGATGATTCATTTATATATATTCTATATTTAACAACTGAAGAAATGTTAAAAACATAACTATTCTGTTTTTATGAAGTTATAATGTTTTTGAAATATTTTTTTTTTTAAATTTCATACAAGATATAAAGTATATTTCCCGCTGTATATCATTTATCCTAAGCACTCAATGTTTTTATTGAACTACATAATATATTTGAGGATTTGTCTTAAAATTTCATGATGAAAATCACATATCTGGCAATTCAAAATGTTTTTTTTTTTATTTCCATGTTTAACACATGACTGTTTGATCATCACAGAGATTTATATACAAGATCGACCTATGACAAATTTATCGAAATAGTTGATCTTATTCTCCTTTTTACCGTTTCACTTGTGATTTTTTTTTACTTAATTAACTGTAAATACTTTTTAAGTCATTTATCTACCTTTTTTCTGGCATTTTTGTTGCAAATTCAAAATAGTCAGGTAACCGGAAAAAGAAAGTCTTGGACAGTCACGCACAACGTGAAGTCTCGATATTTAAAAATGGGATAGCGGAAATGTCAGGTGTCAAATGTATCTCTGTGATATTCACCACTGACATACAAGTCCATGTCCATTCGAAAAAGAATTTTTTTTAAACTAATACAAATACGAATTCAATATGTAATTTATCCTAACTAGGAATTGACCCGTTGAAGTTTTTTTTAGGTAAGATCATCACAAGAAGATATCGGGAGCATAATTAAAACATCCTTTATTGACTTCAATTAGAATCATAATTATACCGACAGTTCATGTTTTAAAATAACATTTCTTAGCTGTTGTCTTTGTTTCAATAATGTGAGACAACAAAAAAAACTACATTTTTTGCAATGTAAAATTTTTAGCACTTTCTTGTCATGTTAAATACATATCACATTGAGCTTGAACAGTAGGCAAATATTTCATTGGTCAATCTCGAGAACTTGTTCTAGACTTGTTATTTTATTTCCTGTAGAAATGTTTAAAACATGAATCAAGTTAATCACACAAAAAAGCGTCTGCAGAGGTTGGAAAGGGACTTTGCCCATATCTTAAGAAAGTCAAAGTTTTTTCAAAGCCACAGCTAATGGCTGACCAAAATGAAAGTTTTAATCTTGGTATTTAACTGAAGTGAAATCAAACTTAAAAACAAATTTAAGAATTCAGCAGTCACATTTATTATTATTTTTTTTCATAACCGGAAATAAATAATTTGATAAGATAAAGAGTCAATATTGCAGGAAAAAAAAGATTATCTTTTTTTAATAAGCAAAACATCTACTAGATGTCATTTAATATAAAGTAGTCAGGTATTAAATAAAGTATTAAAATGCAAGTACTAATGCAATACCTGTGAAAATTTAACATGAAGTCTATAAAAGTTCACACTCTTGCAAAAGAATGAACTTAAAATAAATAACAATGAGAAATAAAAATAAAAAGAACATTTAAGTATAAAAGTATGGTTTTATGTACAACAATGAATTCTTATACAATAAAATAACAAAATATTTAACAAACATACTTTATGACCATAGTTGATTTTCATTATAAAAAGCTAAATGCAATGGTTTTGTTTATCTATAAACTATCAAATAACAGATATAATTTGACCAGATACTAATATATGTCATTTAAATGCATAATCTGACTAAAGTTCAAATCCCCTTATGTTTACATTTAGTACATGTAAACATATGATCTGAAATTTAGTCAAATTGTTAAATGCATTGTTTTATTTCAATATCAACACAGGTGTGTCATAATTAATGTATATACAAACAAATGATTTCTTTTATGTATATATACAGTTGTATGTATATAATTATACATTGTATATATTAAAAACTAACAATCCAAAGTGTACTGTCTAACTATTTAAAATCAAGGAAATACTTTGAAATAATTATAGCAAGTTTCACAATTCTGTACATTTTATTTAATCATGAAACAAGAATGCTTCCAGTGCTCAGTTAAATTATACTCTTGCAACATATGTACATGTATACAGTATTTCCCCAGTTGTTTTGGAGTTTTTTGGCACATGATTCATTTGCAAACTTTACAATAATCCTACTTAAAACTGACCATTCTACTGTGCTGTCAATATGACAAATTAGTCGAAAATGCAAAAAAATACACATGACTTTGAATACTAACAAGGCCTTTAAGTGTTATTCGTAAAATGAGAAAAATGTGACAAAAGCGACAGAAGGTCCACTTTTGCTTTCATCAATACAATACACCAAAGAACTTGAAAACAATACTGGCTTCAATAATAAAATTCCTAATTTCTCAACAATATTTTATAATTAGCCGAATAATTGCATACAAAAATGCGCGAGGAATAAAAAAAACAGTGAAGCCGGTCACTGATTCATAATCTTTGTACACCATACTTATTTCTCATTTCCTTACAATGCTGGCAATTACCGGTATAATAAACATACTCATTTACAATACAAAGTGTGACAGGTTGAATAATTAGTCCAATTAAATCAGTACTTGTTTAGGTAATTAGTCATCAGCAAGAAAACAAGTGGATTTTTGTCTCTAATTTAAATTGTTGACTCGCTTATTGACAAGATAGAATTAGCAAGCACATTGCATTAACATTATTATATACATGACTGTCGAAAACTTTTCACTTATTTTCCTTTTTTGGGTTGATGCGTTTTAAGTAATACCTTTAAAGTTCCCTGTTTAATATAGTGCCTAATACGGAAACCAGCATGCACTTTCCTGTCAGACAGAGACACTTGAGTAGGTTTTGAACTGTTAAAAATACAAATGGTAAGCAACACTAGTCTTATATTTATGTCTATATTAGACAATTTGTTCTCAAATATTTGTAACAACTCGGCAATTCACCATATGCTATGTGAAGGGGACATTAGATCTTGTATCTATAAAAGGTTCCCCCACACATTATAAGTACATTATAACTGAAGGTAACATCCCTTCGCCACTATGCCAGCCAATATAATTAGTGAAATTTGACCACTTCCTTATATTTGGCTACTTACAGTTTAAAGCACAGATCAAAATGCTTCACTGTTAAGCAGCACGCCTCCAGATTCATGCTAATTTTCATGAAAATTTTGAAAATGTATTTAAAAGTAAAATATTGTGAAGTGAACAAAGAAAGTAATTTACACATTGCAAACAACACTTACAATCCACATAAATTACCAAAAAAAAGGTGAAAATATACATAAATACCTCTTCCGGCATTAGTAACACAGTAGAATTATAGCTATTGATACTGCAAAATCAGACATTAATCGCACAAATAAATTAAATATTGAATCTTTTTACTTTTCTTAAGATCTTAACACATTTTTCCAAAGATTGAATTTCTTGAAATATTTTGGCTCATTTGGAGATGTGCAGCTTTAACTACCAACGGATCCAAATCGAAAGCTGGACAAGTCCGTTCATTACAAGAAATTTAGTTTTGTAACGTTTAAGAAACAAAGGCAAATCTTTATTATGACAGCCCAATCCAGTCTTCTTTAGAAAATAAACAAAAGAAGAAAGGACAGTGAGTCTTAAACTGCATTTAACTAACAATTTCCTTATTAATTAAGCATTGGATTGAATTGCCAAGTGTTATTTTGTTTTACAAATTCTAAACTTAAAAGTTTGAATTTACCGAAAATGCTTACACTATTTGCTTTGAATCTCAGTCTCATAACATTGTCTTCAATTGTTTTAAGGTAAATGCTAACAGAAAACAATCTAAGTTACTGTGAGAAATCTAAATCATCTGTCTACAGCTTCAGTTATGACAGAAGAATCAATTCAACTACCTATTCATTACTCCACTTTGTAATTCTGCTTCTTTGAATTGCCAGCAATGTAATGATATGCCATATATCCTACTAACAATAGCAAAATTGATATTGTAACATACTTTTCATACCAGTGTGTACTCATATTTCAAATAATTTTTCTATATTTTTTTTCCTTTAGAAAGCACCTGGTTGAAATTTCAATAAAATGCAATGTGGTCTTAAATACCTTAATGTATTCGATCCCGATGAAATGAAAAATCATTAAAAGTTTCAGTTTTCATACATTAAAAAAATGTATATATTTATATATTATACTGGTATAGATGTACTAAATATTTGATGGTATAGATGTACTAAATGTTTGATGCCAAATTAAAGTATAACGATGGATTTTAAATTTTTTTACGACACAGTAGCGTATAATCAATGTACGTACAAAGATCCGTTCATCATACAGGTTGATATATTACGGAGTTTATAGCCTCGTGTAAGGATTGATGATGACAAATGACATGTTTAGATTCCTGAGGTCAACATGCTAAATAAATATGTCAAAAATTTGCATGTATACATTAAATGAAAAAGACAAAAACAGCAATAAATATAAGTAAGATATGGTTAAACAAACGAAAGAGAATAAATTCTTAAAAAAATGCACGAAAAGAAAACCAAAGATAGATATTTTATTTAAGTTTGATAAATTTAACCATAATTCCCTGGCATTAACCTATTTGTTGCTTAATTATGTTAAAAAATAGTAACCTTAACAATTTTTTGTCGCAAAAATATTAACATCTACAAATTCTTTAAGACAGTCAAATTTATTTAAAACTTTAAAGAAGAAACAAAAAAAGAAAAGAATCGATACAAAACTTTCTTTATGGAAAAGAAATTGCTACAAGCCAAATTTTTTCAAATAAAAAAAAACAAAACAAAAATGATACGTCTTAAATAGTTGCTCATTAAATGATATAAATTTTTGTTCAGTTGCCATTTTTTCTCATTGTTTAATTAAAGATATATGTATGTACATATTTTGATAAAAGAATGTTTAATTGTTTTATTTGCCCCAAGGAAGCTCGGTGATTCATAATTGTACATTCATTAGGAAATATTTCTTTGATGTTTTTATAATGACAGAATATTAAATAAAATCGACTTCAATTTAATATCAACACTTTGCGAGTTAATCATGTGGAAATTGTGTATCGAAAGTATATAATTATTCACTATTTCTCAAAAAAAAAAAAAGAAGAAAAAAATATTTGGTTTTTACTGTAATCTGACCTCCCTTGACCATACATCGCCTGTTCTAAAATAAATGGGGTTAAACAAGGACCACATATCATAATCAAATCATTTATAACAGTAATCCAGACTATTAACTTAAGTTATTTCCAAGCAAACATCAAAACTAAAAAAGTATGTATTAACATTTTTTGAAACTAACTCAATAGCCATTACTGTAACCCTTCGATACAAGTAAAACATTAAAGCAGCACACCTCCAGGAAAGTAAACTTAACTACAACTTCAAAAAATTCTAAATTAAGAAAAAACAAATTCAAAGCTTTAGAAATATATCAATTATTCACATTTCAGTTTAACCTTTCAATATATTATTTCATAAATTTAACTATTTTCATCTCCAAAATTCTACCCATTTTATAATAGAAGGAGTAATAAAAATGTCTACTGATCTTAACAAGTTATTAACTTATCTATATAAATTTTTAATAGTACAATTGCCTATATAAAGACAAGGTTCAGTTACTTAATATGCATGTTTGACAAGATATTTTAATCATAACAAATACATGTATTGTGTTTTCATAGAAATTAAAATAGACACAAATTTAAAATCTGAAGGCATGCTGCTTTTCAGTAAATCATGGCATTGTAACACTGGAGCCACATTGGCATGTGAAGAATTAAATTTGCTTATTTCCTCATTTTATTTTGACATTTAGAATTCAAAACAATTATTAAATTCAGCTCTATAAGTATAAGGTCAAAGCCCTGACTAACTCTGTTATTCTTAAAGGGCACAGGCTTGAATATTAAACATTTTACAATAAGGTGAAACCTCAAATTAGAAATTATAATGAGCATAAATTTCTCAATAATTAGTCTAACATTGCAATTAAAACTGGTATTTTAATGTGAATTGATGAAACGTTTCCTCCTAATTCTGTCTTGTTTAACATGATCCAATGATGTCTTTGTCACTTTTATCAATTTCTAATATTTGCCAATTAAAGGTACTTGTTCAAAGTTGGTTAGAGTTTATTTTCTCAACAATTTCAATCTTATTCTACAGATAAAATGCTGTAGAAAAATATACTAAATGACACTGGAAATAATATCTGTAGCAAAATGTAAATTAAAGTAAGTCAATATGAATTTTATACCAATTGAAATGATCTTTTTGCTGAAGCAATTCAAAAGCATAACTGACAGTGAACTATATTAAGCAAAAAATAAATAAAAAAAATTGTGGAACTTTTGTAGCTTAACCTTGAACTTGTCCTTACTATAGAATCTGGTCAGACAGCACAGAGGTACAGGTTAATCTGGCCCTATACTAAAAATAGTAACTTTACTCAATACTGTATATCACTATTTTGCCGCCATAAGTCTGCATTAAAGGGACTCCACTGATTTTTTTATCACATGACAGAACTGGAAACAAGATTTGTTTACCATTCGACGTAGGTCTAATCCAATAAATTGTGTACACATTTTCAGATCATTCCCCGACTCCATTTTTCTAGAATGATAATTTTTATTGAGCAAAAGGATCCAAAAATGAAAAGCATTGTCAATTTTCACAAAGAATTTAACTTTCAATTCTATTCCTAGTATAATTCTTTATCATCCTTTGCGAATTTCTTAACTTCAGTTGTTTCACTTGATCTTTGTAAAAAAATTAAATTTTATATTTTTAGGCATTTTGACCTCAGTGTAGCCCCTTTAAGTTCATTAAAAAAGAAATTGGTCACTAATTTTGTAGCTATTGTCTGATATCATTATATTTCAAGATTAGATAGTTCCTTTAATTGTTGGTAATTTATAATGTTTAATATGTAAATCAGGGAATAAAATCTAATAATTATTTCCATGCCATGTGAGACCAGTAAATAATTATGTTGACTACAACAAAATGTAGCTAAAAACCGAATTGCAAAATAAAGCTTAAACACCTGTGACCCAGAAAATTGTAAAAATCATTTAATTAAATTGATAGGAGAAAATACTAGCTGAGTCAAAGGTATGTTACTAAAATTTATGCACATAAATCTTATTTATTGACATATAATTTAAGAAATATCCAAATTTTCTGTAAGGTAAGCAGAATTAAATGAAAGAAAATATGACATTTAGATACATAGTTTTGTTAAACCAAATCTTGGACATACTGACAAAGAAAGAATATCATATAAGTAACAAACCATATTAAATATAAGTAGAAAATCAAACAAACTTTTCCTAAAATATTTTTAGAAAAAGGACTTTAAAACTTTGCAGTTGTTTGAATTTCAATAAACAGATTCTATTTAAATTTTCAGAAATCCACTTTTTTCATTTGAAAATATTTTACTGTGAAAACATGCTCAGAGAAAGAAAATTATAATGAATACAGTTAAGTTAAATAATGACAATATAAGTATTATGTAAGTTATTAAACAAGCGTTGATAATTTAGAATCTCCGCCACTGCTTCCACTATCTAGTCTAGTTCGAGACCCACTATGTCTTGGATTCGATGAGTTTGAATGAAAAGAAAGGTTGCCATCAGTGTTTGTTTCCTTTTTCGGCACTTGTCTTGCTTCGTTCATCACAGCTGCATTTTTACGCGAAATTACTGCCATACGCGATTCAACTGAGTTTTTAATCTGTTGACTACGCATTGTTGCGCTGGTCGATTGAGCACGAGGTCGCATGTCACTCGAGCCAGACTGGTTTTCATTTACCTGATGGCGATATGACAGTGGCATTGCATGAAAACTATGTCTCTGCGTCCCAGGACTATTTATAGAATCGAAAGATTGATCATGTGTTTGAAAAAGCTTTTTTATATCCCGAGAACTTGCAAATACTGGCCTTTTTCGTAAGCTTTCCAGTGACACATACTGTCCTTTCTTCAGTTTTTCTTCATATTCAATTTGCGCTAAACAATACTGAGGCAAATCACCCATATTCATGTACTCTGCCTCTTGTTCATATTCAAAGGAACTACTTTTTTGTTCAATCACAGGAGTAGGTTCAACCGTCACAGGTATCACATTCTTTTGTTTGCTCTTATTACTTTTAGATTCCTTACCATCTTCACTATGCTTCTTACTTGATGGTTTAAACATATTCGGTAAAATTTGTAAGAACTTATTCTTAGATCCACTTGATTCTTTTTCCTTTTCTTTCCCTGATTTTTGACTCTTCAAAGTGGAGGATTTGGTGGTACTGCCATTTTTCTCTTTTGAATCTCTCAATATTCCCTGAATGTTTGATCCCTGACTTGAACCTGGATTCTGACCCTGGGCAATGGCCGGCTCAGATCCATAGTTTTGAGGTCTATAATAATTGTCTTGCCCATACATTGTATTAATTTTCTTTTCCTGAAAGTAGTTCACTTTAGAATCAGTTCTACTGTATTTTTCTACCTGTTGGTCAAACCCGTAATAATTGCGATAATTTAAGTCCATATCGCTCCATTTTTCCAAAAAGTCATCACTTAAAGCTTCTAGTGGTGATTTTGGAGAATTAAGTGTCTGTGCCAAATTTTCATTTCCTTCAACCACTTCATTCACTGGTTGAAAGCTTGATAAGCTAGTACTTCTACTGCTCCTGTTCAATGAATAAAACCCTTCATCCCCACTAGGACTCACATAAATTTTACCACTTCCACTTGCGGTGCGATACCTTGGATCTCCACTTCCTCCACGAAGAACGAAAGGTCCGCTATTTAAACTGTCTGTAGCACTAATTTCACTGTCCTCCTCCCAATTGTTCCCACCCCTTTGTTCTGGATATCTGTCATTATTTCCAGTTTGAGACATAAAAACATCATCATTAGTTCTGTCGGCAACATCATTAGCGTTTCTACCTACAGAACCCATTAAATGATGATTTGAATTATAATGCGGTGGTACACGAGGGGCAGTAGTATTAATCTCATTTGTTTGCGGTGTCTGTGGTAACACTCTTTCTCGCCTTCTTTCAGAGCTTACGTTACCACTTTTATCACTGTCCATCACATATAACTGCCGATTCACCCTTCTTAAGTCATTTGGTGAAACATTTATAAACGGTGGTTCAGAATTGGCATTATGCCCTGTATGGGAATCATACGAATTTGGTAAGTTTCCATTCCTTAGCACTGATTTATCACTCGGTTTAGAATTTCTACGTCCAACAATGTTCATACCATGACTGTTTTTATCCCTATCAATTACCCCCCTCTGAGAGTTTGCTGACCCTTCTTCCTCGATTATAGTTAATTCCCTTAACTGATCTTGAACAGTGTTATCTGATGCCTCAATCATTCTCTGTTTTCTTTTTACAGCCCAGTTTTCTCTTACTGAATTTGGTTTTATTGCACCATTTGGTAAAATCACTTTTTTATTACCTCCATTATAAGAGTTCTCAAAGTCATTTGAACCGAAGCTTGATGAAAACGGAGAAGAAACTGTACCTGAACTTGAATTAGTCCCATAGCCATCGTCAGGGCTGTCATTTGGGCTGCCGTGATTACTGTTTGTTTTACTGTCAGCACTTTCTGGTGAAGATACGGTATTATTATGATCAGTCCGAATATGGAGAGGTATAACTTTACTATAAATAACTTCCTCTTTTTCATTTCTAGGACCGTTTGCTAGATCACTTTCCATACCTTTAGAGTCTGCAAAATGTATATGAAGATTTTTCTTTCCTTGTATACTAGCTTTGGACTTGTTTGTGTCCAGACATTCTGTTTTAGTTTTTATTGAAGTGAATTTTTTAAGACTATGATCTATTCGCTCTTTGTTCTTCATCTCCTCTTCAGTTGTCATCATAATCATGGTGTCTGCTGAGGAATCACTATGATCACTTGTGGAGTCAATACAGTCCAAAGGGTCAAAGTTTCGAAACATTTCCTCCGTTGTTTGTGGGGTAATGTATTTCATTGGTGGGGACAAAACACCTTTCGGACCAGTCTGTTCATAATCTGTTTCTTTTTGCCAAAGTTTATCATGACTAGTAACATTTATTCGTGTTAAAGGTTTTGGTTCCGTGGTTTTAAACTCACTAGGAGTTTGAGGTAACTGACGTTTCTTTTCTCTCAGCGGTAAGCCATTTTCTATAGGTTTTGGTAGTATTTTACCATTTTCATTTTTTAAATGAAAAGATACCCCATTTTCTTTTTGTTTAGGAACTCTGTTGGGTCTAGGTGGGGGCGGGCGAGGGGGTGGTGACGAATTGTCCACATCTGCAAATCGTGTCTGCTTTTGTCGTAGTGAACTTCTTTGACCAGTATCGTTTGCAGACATTTTTCGAAATCTTTCTTGCTCATTACCGAAGTAAACGGGCCTGGCGTAGAATGTATTTGGATTTGCGGAAGCCATCATTATTATTTTAATTCCATAGTATCAAATAATATACAAAGATCACTTGATAACTTGAATGATATACTCCAATGTATAGATTTGCGAAAATTCAAGTATTCCAAAAAGATTTAAACTCCAATAATTATATTCAGATTCAAACTTCTGTCATAATCTTAATTCAATCCATGGAATATGTAAATTTCTGCTGTCAGGGTTTCCTAACTTCCTACGTTGCCATTGTAACAGTACATCTGTAGTCATGGTTACCAGTTCTATTCATGGACCTGGAAATATAAAAGAAGATACATATTAAATACTAAAATTTTGAACTCTTTTTCAAATTTTCAATGGTCACATGTCATGGAGGGTATTATAAATTGTATAATGAAAATAAATTTACTAAGTCATAATTATAGTCATCTTCATTTTAGTGATTATTTATTAAACTTTCCAAACTTTTCATAATACTGTTCTTGTAGCCAACTGTTTCCCAGCTGGTATGAATCTATATCAACATCATAGGAAATTCATAGTCCCGGCTAGCAATTACATTTAGGTTTTTTTTGTTTTTTTGTTTTTTTTTCCTTCAGATTTTATCCCATTATAATGTTTCAAATTGACTTTTACATTTATCATCAAATAAACAGTAATGTTTCTCATAGTCAAATAAACAATCTGCACATAAAATCTATAAAAAAAACTTAAAAATGTTTTACATATGCATCACCAACCAGGGCCACATCAGCTTATGCTAAATATTTTAAACAGCTAGGGCCAATAAAGTTTGCCTTGTGGTATTCGATTATTTAAATGTTTTGTATTTTTGTGTCGTCAACAGTGGGGAAGAATTTCCTCATGAAATTAACCCTTCCTAATTGGGTCCACATTTCATTCTTTATTTATTTCATATTCAACATGCCTGCCATATATATGTATTTATTATAATAATGTCCTTTGATTAAATATTTATAATCGAAATTCCTTTCGCTACTTTCAAGTAATTTAATAATAATATGTGATTGTACCTAAGGGCCTAAACTTGATGAATCAGACAGAATGTAAAAAGGGAAATTAACAATAAAAATGGCATATAATTTCAGTTGAAATGAATGGTAGATGACTAAACTAAAAGCAACTTTACTTACAAAAAAAATTCTGTTGTTTTGTTAGACTTTTTTCATTTCTATAATACAATTTTATATTATATATACAGGTTTTATACAACATGTATGTAAAATATTATGTGTTATATAATATATAATGTGTTAAAAATATAGAAAAAATGAAGTTCTTAAAATTAAAATTACTTTCATAATACTATGTATAAAGATTAGACAGGTAATATGGTCCTATATAAATGGTTGATTGCATAAAAGTGGCTGGGGTTATATTGCAAACAACCATTTATAATATAAGGTCATATAACTTGTGAAGAATCTTTATAATGAATTTATAATACAAGTTTCCATTTTTAGAATTAAGGAAGAAAAAAATCGTCATAAATTGAGAGTAGCAGTGTATTTAAAAAAGTATATGAACATCATGATTTTCCAATGAAAAAGGACTTTACAAACAATGTATATTCATTACTGTGTATCATAATTGAGCTGCTTCGCGACAAAACCCAACATAATGGGTTTGTGACCAGCATGGATCCAGACCAGCCTGCGCATCCGCGCAGTCTGACCAGGATACATGCTGTTCGCTATCAGTTTCTCTACTTGTAATAGGGTTGGTAAGCAAACAGCATGGATCCTGATCAGACTGCGCTGATGCCCAGGCTGGTCTGGATCCATGCTGGTCGCAAACCCATCATGTTGGTTTTGTCATGACACGGCTCAATTATGTAACATATGCTTCATGTAAATTTAACTTATTCATTTTTTTACATAAAAGATCTTTCATATGTACAAAATTTTATAATTGTACTATAAAAGTTAATAATGTTCCTCATAAACAGAGTGTGAACAAGCAAGAAACTTGTCACACCTGCTTTATTATTTAACACAAATTTGAGAAATGTTTAGCATAACTTTCAACAATATCATTTCATGACAGTTTTCTGCTGATATGTCAAAACACACCTCATTCATACATTATGCCTTGCATAAAATCTGACTTGATAGCAAAAAGACAAACTAAAACTGTTTTATTTAGGCTATCTCAATGATTTTGGAAAGACATGTATCCATGTCTTAGTTTTAAAACTTCTTTATGTGTTCCACCTTTGATATTATAACACCAGAACTGTACATTCCATTTTTCAAATGTTTATAAGCATAGATCTCTATGATATAACACTATAATAATCATTAAAAGTCACATGTACATGTATATAAACTACATTAACCTGTTACTGGAGGGACAAGATTGGAGGGGAAAACAATGAGGGGACAAGATTAGAGGGACAAGACTGAGGAACAAGATTGGAGGGACAAGACTGAGGAACAAGATTTTAGAGGGCCAAGACTCTGGGAACAAAATTGGAGGAACAAGTCTTGAGGGACAATAATTTTGGGACATGATTGGGGGACAAGACAAAAGGGACAAAATTTAGAGGACAAAATTTGAAAAACAAGATCCAGGGGACAAATTCATGTGTGTGTGTGGGGGGGGGGGGGGGGGGAGAGAGACTGGATGGACAAGTTGAAGTGACAAAATTGAGGGGGCAATAGTCTAGGAACAACATTACAAGATTCAATAGCGAATATTGGAGGAACAAGACTGAAGGGTCAAGTTTTAAACATTTTTTAGACATAGTATAGTCAAGACAGCTACATATAAAATTGGTGTCAAATGATTAAAGACCTCTCAGAGCACATCTTTTTCATAAAGTGTAATCAGCTAATTTAGAAGTTTCTGTAAGCTACACTTTCCACTTTCAGTTTTTAACTTGTGAAGATCTTACTTCATTTCCTCTATCTATACTTGATCAAAACAAAAGATATTCCGCCACTGCAACTAAATTAACTGCATGCAACAAAAAAAACTACCACTGCTAGTAAATTACATAACAACATGCGACAGAAATATTATCACCTGCAATTTTCATCCCAACATAATCTGATATGGTTCATGTTACACAATACTCCTGGTATTAGATTCTTTGAAATACTTTACAATGCACAATGAAAATCTCATATTTAAAACAGCATGTAGCCTTATTAAGACAAATCAATAATCTACAAACAAAGAGCTATAAGCCTTGCTTATGTTTCATTCTTTCAAGGTATTTTCATATCAATTTTCATTTTACCTCAAATTGATCTTTTCAAAACTATATATGCCTCTTTGAATCAAGAGTTATACAAGTCATTGATGTAGTTGAATGAATTAACACTTATGTAAATGAAAGTTCTGTTTCAACATCATATTAGTCATAATGTAAATTTTAATGTTAATCATAAACTAAATTATAATAATAATTATTAGACAAAGTACATATGCAGCAATAAAATATCTTCTTTTTATGGTAATCAAATAACAACTTCTTTTGTAATGCGATTTTTATAATAATTAATGTAAGTAAGATAAATAAACTGATTTTTCTATAAAATACATTGTCTGGGTTTTTTTTTTGTTTTTTTTGTTGTTCAGTTATATTTTGCTAAACACTGTAAAGGTTATATGGCAACTCTCCAGCTTTACTTGTGGAGGAAGACCTGAGATTGAGCGTGTCACTTAAAAAATTAGCTGAAATTTAAGTCTCATCACAGAAAAAATATTCCATTCAAAACAACATCCATCTAAAAATTTGCCACTTACAATAGTGAGATAATATAAGCCAAACGTAGACAAAACAAGCATTACATATATTGAACACGTAAATTCTAAAAAATAAATACAGATTGAGAACGAACATCTTCTTAATGAGATATATTTCATATCTAATCACAACAAATTATTAAACATCATCCATTTAATAAACAATATTACTACTGTACAAACTCTTATTCCATAAGATATATTCTATATTCAATCCAGTATAACTTATTGCATAGTCCTTCATATCAGAATGATAAAACATCATTCATTTCATATAAAATACCACTGCTTACTATGAGATATATTCTATATTCAATCCAGTATAACTTATTCCATATTCCTTCATATAACATCATTCATTTCATATAAAATACTACTGATTCCTATGAGATATATTTCATATCCAATCCTGTATGATATATTCCACAATCCCTCTGTCAGATCAGATATTATCCATTTTCTTCACAACACACAAGATATATTTCCATAATCAACAAAAACAAAATCAAATTTTCATTGATATTTCAAATAATTATACATATAAAATACAACAAGAACCTTCCCCCTTAAAAATATTCCACAATCCCTCAAGTATCATCCTTATAATATTAACATTACAATATAAAATAACAATTTTGCACCTTGACAAAAATACAGCCTACCTTTAACTTTAAAATCTACGATCATTCCAATACAAAAACGGGAAAAAAAATCTCAACGTAAAAAGATCAATGGTTTATTAATCGTCCAGTTATACTGGTTATTATTCACGTAAATTTTTGATATCACAATTTGATCTTAAATTAAAATTTGGCAAGACTCCGCGAACCCAATGACGCCAGGTTTTTATACGGAAAAAACACTCATTACAAAGGGTAATGAGAAAATAATTTTCATATTTTACGACTGAAACGAGAAGTGATCTTATAAAAAAAGGAAAACATGTAAAAAAAGTTCAATTTAAAAAAATTCTTAACTGTTTTGATAAATGAATATTACATTTACGACCATCGCTGGATAAAAGGGCGATCCTTTTGTGACAAAAGATCGGGATTGCGCTCAAAAGATCGGAGTTATTTGCGAGGATTTGAGATTGTCCGTCATGTTTTTGTCTTCCATTATAAAGGAAGAATGTGGTCCAGATTTTACTGTATGATAAATCGCTTAATGATTTAACAGTAAATAAACTGACCTTACAAACATAATGATCAGTGAAAACATTGTGTGCCCATTTTTGTTAATGAATGGACATAAAGCTTTTTCACCCTTTTTTCTCTCAAAAATTCAAAATGTTATCTCTCTGGTCAAAGGAAATTTTGTCAGCTATTGATGTATTGCTTTCTAAAATAAGAGACTTAAAATAGAGTGATATCTTCATTTAAAGAGCCTGAAATCTATAACCCTATTCTGATATGCTTGAAAATTATGAAGAAAAATCAACATCATTAAGGATTTGAAAAGAGTACTGAAAGAATTTTTAAACATTTATGTTGTCATAATGAAATCTATATCCAACTAA